CAAAATATTGTGCAACAATTACTTCAAGAAATTATCATACATATCCAGCTGGACAACCTACAAAATGTTGAAAATGAGGGCATTCCCATCTAATTTATTTTTTTAAAATGACTGCAGTACAATTAAAAAACAAAAAAAAAGCATTATCATTTTATAAAATAATATTAATTTTCCTTCCAAAATATTGTGCAACAATTACTTCAAGAAATAGTAGCCTGTGTAAATACCATTTTATACATCCATTGCTTACTAGTAGCCTGAGGCCAAACTTGTGTACCGCATGTTTGTTGGAATATACACTGTGTTGTCAGTCTCACGACCATTGCATCCCAGCCCCATGAACAAAAAGCCATAGGTTTGCATTTTTCACTATCCCCATTAAAAAATAGAAAAGAAAAAGAAAAAAAAATCCTCGGTCCTGTTACTAATAAGTGGAGTAGGTGCTCAGAAGTCAGAACATAAACAATTAAATGAAATGGAAACTTAGGATTTATAACCTATTTGGTATAATAATAATAATAATAATAATAAAGATAAATGAAGAAGTAGGCAAAATATATGAGTGCGGCAGAAATGCATATGCTGAGATCAATCAATGGAAAAACTAGAAAAGAAAGGATCGGAAATAAAGTCATTCAGAAGAACCTAGGAGTAGCTCCAATAGGTGATAAAATGAGTAAAAGTAGGCAAATATGGTTTGGTCATATGCATGGAAAACCATCATCAACACCTATAAGAAGAAATGATCTGTTGCAAGTTTAAGGGGCTAGTAGAAGGACTAGGCGTAGACCAAAAAGGACATGGATAGAGGTAGTAAGAAATTATTTAAGTGCCAATAATTTAACAATGGATATGGCATTAAACAAAACAGGATTCATGTAGCCAACCCCATAAGGTTGGGATAAGGCTTGGATGACAATTTATGAAGATGCCTTAAGTTGCACACTTTGTATTTCAAGATGCCATGGATGAAAACCTTTATATTTTATGCACCCATGCTTGAGATTATGACTTTTTAGGAATAAAGATGAATGTTATCATAACATAGAGAACAATTTGATAATATGACCAGTAACTTTCCTCAAACATCTTCAAATCCACCGGAACAAGATTTCACTCAGAGTGCCAATTATCTGGTCTCTATGGCATCTAAGAGAGTAAGAGACCAACAGCCTGCATCTCCACCTCTAATCCAACTGATAACTACCTGAAGTTACACCCATCTTCACTAAAGATAGTCCTTTAGAATATCTCAGAACCATCAGGACCTGAGAATCCTAWAACAACCTTCCCAGTGAGATCTGTAGTGCTTTCCACCTACCCCATAGAATAAAAAATAAATAAATCTTAGGCTCCTGTGTTCCAAGAGAGTAGCCGTGAACTGAGCCCGATTGCTCCTTTGTAAGATATCCTGCCTGTAGTCCAATAAATTCGAAACATTATGCCACCACTTAATAAATTTGTTTCCTCGCAATTGAGATATTCTTAGTTCTTACTTCTCTACAACATTTCCATCTGAAATTTGCTTGCTTGCCTAACAAGTTATAGATTTATTCTGCATAGTACCACATGAAAACATATATCCTCACTTTGATTTATAGCTAAGCCCAAAAAAGCCACAATACCCATTTCAGTCAAACTAGCTATGACTAGTTATACAAATTAGCCAGCACTAACAAAACAAATGAAAAGGCTTGAGAAAGTACAGAACATACCAGTGATGATGACGGTTGAAATGGAGACCACAAAGCCATAAACTTCAGAAGGCTTTGCACCATGTTCTTCAGATACAGAAAATCCAGAGGCCTTGTCATCATGATCTGAAAAGGAAACCGTTGCCCTCTCCTTTGATAGACTCTTAATTCTTTTTGGGCTGTTGAGAGAAGGAGATTCGTCCATCCCTTGTGCTTTTAATACTCCACCTCACACAAGATGCATGCTATTGGAAGGCAGATCCATAAACTATTGCAGAGTCAATACCATGCAGGCWATTAAATAGGATATGGTGTAGCATATACTGGGAATACTTCAAAAAGACAGTGATGGTAAAGTTTAATAAATGAAAATTGTTGCACATGTGGGTGGGGATGTGGGATGTCACAAGATCATGAAAATATCTGAAATATCATGAAATCTTTTGAATTTTGAAGCATTGACATTGCAAAATTTTGGTCAGTTCTCTAGGTGATGTCAACAAGCCAACAGATTAATACCTAAGGAATTTTCCCACATGAAAATCAAGTGGCAACACCAGCAGGTTCCATATGGAACTTGTAACATGGCGGAACAAAAKAGGGAAGAGGGTTGATATAGTCTTTTACATTTTTTTCAATTAAATATGCCACATGTGCAACAAAAGGAGGGAAGAAGGAGGTCCATGTTAGACCTGTGGAGGAAGACACCTTGCCTTCTACATACTTTACATTTACCCATGCTCATAGGAGTCCCACTCAAGAAACATTTACATATTAAAAGAAAATATCAGAAAAGAAACAAATCCTTAAGTTCATAAGATCTTTATTGATCCATAATTTTCTTCTTAAAATAAAAATAATTAAAAGAAATTACAAAAAAAAACATGATGAAATGAACTTAATTTTCAGAAATTACAATCCATAAAGAACACAAAAAAGGTTTCCAATCCATAAAGAACACTAATTCAAGGAAAATACAAAGAGGAAGAATGAGAAGAATCCAATGCTAACATGCAAAAACAACCTCAACAGCATTGTAATAATGCAAATAAACTTTTATATATTACATGTATCAAAAAGTAAAGAATACAAATTTAAAAACATAAAACAGAGGAGCTTACAATCTGAAGTCTGAACAAATTTACCACACAACTTGAAGACATTTCTGGGGTGAACAAGTCTGGAGCTTATTCCTTGTGGTCATTTCCACAAAATTACACCAACGACAATTAATAACAATAATCAACAATTCCACCCCCTGCCCCACCCCAAAGAAGAAGAAAACATCTTAGGACCCATAGAAAGGTGGATGCATAATAAACCAAATATCTTCGGTATGCCAACTTATATTGGAAGGCATCTAAGTTGCTCTCTCCACTCTGTTTTCAAGAGATAAATTTCAGTCACAAACCTTAGCACTGTCTAAAAATAAGTCTTTTTCTAAGAAACAGTGTCATTTCACATAGAAAGAAGAGTGATGCATGCAAAACCAGTAAACCAAGTACATGATAAGTATTGGTTTTTCTCTCTAATGGAGATTAAAGGACACATACACAGAGGAAGGCCGGGTGGAACCCATATGACCTTCAAAAGCAATGGTGATAGGAGAAAAGGAAGACAAAGCCTACTCTGTAGAGATGCACATCGAAAAACATGATGGAGAAGGAGAGGAAAGGGGGCAGATAGTGGCAAAGCCCCACTTTTCGATCAGAGAAGAGGATAGGATAGTAGACAAAGGCCCTAGAAGGAGAAAAGAGAAAATATAAATATAGAGAAAAATAAATACCTGCTTGATATAAACTATAAAGTTTGATCGACTTGTTCTCAGTTAGAGATCCTTCGGTAGATTGCTCCTACACTCCAAACCCTCACCAAATAGAACCCTAGCTAAGTCAGAATCTTTCATATGTTATAAAAATTGGAGGGGAGGCACGTAAAGCCGGTATATTTCAGAGAAGAAGAAGTAGAGATGAAATCCGCTGACGAAGTAGGAACCCAAACAAGGACGGGGGAGAGAGAGAGAGAATCCAGATGTGTTAGTGTTAGTAATTGTGCTGCTACATAGGAGTTCGGAATACACAGTGATTTAGAATGCAATCATGACAAGGAGATGCAGAGGGAATTCTCTACTAATCTAAACGGTATTCGAAAATCCGATTTCGAATCCGAGATTCAGTTTATTCGAATCGAATTCTGATACTATTCTTTTAATCGAATAAATAATCGAATCGAATTTGGATATACACTAATCCGATCCGATAAATATCCAAACCGATTATATATATATATATATATATATATATATATTGTATATATTATATATTATATTATTATATAATATAATATAAAAGTTAAAAAAATGAAAATGAAAAATAAGATTAGTTCGAAAATCTCAAAAGTCAAAACTTAAAATCGAACATTACATTAGAAGTTTCGAACTCTTTCATTTTACCTCTCAAAACCCTAACCCTTCGTCTGTCACTCCCTTCACCGTCGTCGGTTGCCGCCCGAGCAACCACCATCGGTCCATAACCGATTACATCCTCATCGTCCGACCAACCACCAGCCTTTCGTCGGAGTTCGAACGCCATCATCATTCATCTCGTCTTTCTTCTTAGGCTCTTACCTCTATCTCTCTTCTCTCAGTCTTTGACTCGCCGCCCAAGCAACCACCATCACCGACGGCATCGTCAATGATAGTGGTTGAGCATCGGCCTCCGGCCATAGCTCAAGATCAACGCCATCTCTTTCGCCCAATCGCCTGTTCGCCGCTGCTCAAGCTCAAGCAACCCTCAGGCCTCAACCGTCCAGCATCACCAGCTTTGTGCTGCAACCCATGACTGTCAGTGGGAACCCATCGCATTTGCACCACTGGGAACCCACGCTTGTCGCCGTCCCCTACCTCTTTACTCAAGGTGATTACAGTCTTACAGTTACATGTAACTCAAGGAATTTGAACCCAGGTTGGTTTAATCTCCTCTTTTCTCTTAAATACCTCAGGTTTATTATTCTCTCGATTGATTTCCCCTTGATGGATTTAACATTCTTCAGTGGAATTCTTTTTCTCATTAGTACAGGTGGTAGACAATGAAACCAACAGACAGAAAAGCACAAAAGATCCTATAGAGACCAACGGGGCAGATTTCTTTGGCAGTCAAACTCAAATCAAGGTCAGAGGTTGTTGCCAGGGCACCTAGAACTTCGTATGTTGCCAGAATCCTTTGTTCTTAGAAAAGATTGATGAAAAGAGTCATGTTGTGAATGAGGGGGAGGTGAAGGCAGTGGTTTTTATCTTCACTGCACTTAAGAACACCCATAGCATTTACCTCAGGTTTATTATTTCTCCAACCATGCTTTTAACTCTTCACTGCACTTAAGAACACTCGTAGCATTTTAGTTTTTATTCAGAAATTAACCTAAATGGCAGTGGTTTTTATCTAATGTCAGGCTATGAGAAATTGAGAGGAATTACTTTGTTCCCGTTACCGAGTACCATAGCCATAGGACCATAGCTTTTTCCTACAGAATCATACAACTTGGGTATTGCTTCATGGTTATTCTTTTTTACCTTTTGGTTTTGCATTTTATATATCAATCAGCTTGTTGATGTACCATGTAAAGCTTGGATTAGCACAACCAGGTCTTATTTTCACCTTTGGCTCAGTTTGGATACAAATATGTACAGTGCAAAAACCTTGTATTTGCATAGTACATATTTGTATTTGTACTCTTTCCAAACTGAGCCCTACATGAACAACAATTTCTTCAAGAACTAGGTGCTAATTTGGAGAAAGAATATTTTACATTCAATGTGTTTTCAGTTGCTTTCAAGGGGAAAGAATGTTTTACATTCAGTGTGTTTTCAGTTGTTTAGGAAGCTTTTTTTTATTAAAATTAAATGTGATGTTTTGAAAAGTTAGACTCAGATTAGGAGTTTTACTGTATATAATATTTTGCACTAATATTTGTATTTGTACACTTTCCAAACTGAGCCAGGCATTGTAGGACAGTAGGAGGACCTCTGTGAATGTGATTATTGTCTTAAACCTCCGTGTGGTTGCTGTCTGAGGTGGCACTTATATGGTCTCACCTATTAAAATAGAAAGCCTTTTGTTTCATCAATAAAGAATTGAGATGGAATATGACATGGAGACGCGGAATTTGCTAATTTCATCAATCAAAAGTTAAAAGAAACAACAGAAAGTTATTAATTCTTTTGTCTTTGTCATTTCTTTTGCCTCTCTCTGTGTCTCGTGAACAAACCTTCCAGCAAGAAAAGCAATTCCCAGGACAACGGTGAACACATCAACCACCTCACAAACTGAAATGTATAAGCTATACGGCCCATACCATGTGGTTGATAATTAAGTTCTCGGCTAGCTTAGCAAAGTTATTTGAACCAATAATAATATCCACATATTTCTTGCAAGAAATTTTGCATAAATTCTGAAATAAATATGGATGGCGATTCAGAACAGCCAAATTTTTAATAAATTGAATAATAGTATGGCAAAAGAAAAAGATATATCATTATATATAGTAAGAAATTAAAGAACTATTACTCTTTAAATTTGTTAGCTGTGGCCTGTGGGTTTTGAATTTGATGCCCTCAGGATTTGAATAATTGAATCAGTGTTTGTGGCTATAGGTACAGATACTGTTATCAAGTTCTACCTTCTCCATGCATCCAGAGAACTATTGACAGTGTTGAACATTGTTCCAGAGTTCATACCATGAAGAAAAGTAATGTGCGCCAACAGGTACCCTTTTGCACCCTTTGAAGTTCTATTGCATCCATCGCTCTCCCTCCTTTCTTTGCAGGTTCACACATATACTCACGGGTTTTCATGTTTCTGTGTTCTTTTTTTTTTCTTTTCTTGTGAAGGAGAAGAAGGCTTATGAAGTCAAGAATGTGAAGTCTAACAACTTTAATTTCCTCATAATTCCATCTGAAAATGAAGATCTTAGTGTCTCACTTTTGATTGGAAAAAAAATCTTTATCCTTTGGTTTGGAGTTCGGATATTGCTAGCAACCTCTCTTCTATGTATTCTGGCTTTCCTTGTTATGTAAGCATACTCTGTCCCTCTTTATTTTATCCTTGTTCACCATTTCGGAACTTAATGCCATATGTGGTTACTAAGGTCAAGTGTATCATYTTTTTAAAGTTTTCATATTCATGTTATTCTTATTGGTAATGGTAACTATAAGAGGTTCACTAGATTAATACTCAATCCATATGATGGCTTCTTTGAAATTGTTTCTGTTGGTTAGAAGGATCAAGGATGCATCATGTTGATACTTCTTTATCAATTTGGAAAGAGCTGAAAGTAAACACAGAATGCCTCATAAGGGGATAAATAACAGTTGAAGGCTACAAATGTAGTGCATCAGGCCCGGTAGATGAAAGAATACCGGGTGTAAGTGGGGTATTGATTGTAAAACTGGAATTAATCTAATCAGATTTGAATTAATCTAATCCCTAACTTGCAAAATTTGTCTACTGCAAAATAATTAATCTAATCGAATTCGAATTCATATTCGAAAAGCCAATCGGTCGGATTTGAATCGAATTGAATATTCGATTTAATAATCGAAATCGAATTCGAATTGATGTATTTGATATCCATCAAATATCGAATCGAATTCGAATATCAGTATCTATAATCGGTTTCGAATTCCAAATTGAAACCAACCACAAAATCAAAAGAATGCCCAATTAACAAACTCGGGTTCAATGTGGCAAGAATCGGCATAAACATATCAACAGAATAATTACAGCGGCATAAATAATGTTTTATCATTTCCAACAACAACCATGCTTAAAACACTGCATAATAATCCAGAATAATGCAAACTACAAGCCAGAAGTAATCTGTCAAGGAGCACTAACGGATACGGAGCGAATAGTGCTAACCTTCATTTCTGTCAAGCCAGAATAATTATGCAAACTACAATCCAGAACGTTCTGTCAAGCCAGAATAATTACATCACAAGAAATCCTTAATTACGACGAAGGAAAAAGAAAGAATACCTGATCCAAATGATGTTCTTCGAGTCACCGGCGGACCAAGGAAGGGGCGGTATTTCTTCCCAACATGGCCAACGGATGAACAGATACGCAGCGAATAGTGATAGCCTTCATTTCTCCTCAATAATTTACAGCTGCAAATCAGGCCATGCCAGACTTGGGTTTTCAGGCCCACAAACCGGCACGACAACGCAGGCCATGCTGGCACAGGCTTGTGACATAGSATGGTCATATATACATATATATGACACACACGGCTAGGACTGCCAATGGGTTGGTTCTGGATCAGAACCTGGTAGAACCGGTTCCGAACCGACAAGAAAATCATTGACCTGAAAAATCAATATGAATTTTTGCTGGATGCCTACACCATAACAATAAGCTAAAAACACACCCAAAATCAATATAGATTTTAGCTACAGTGGATAGCTCTTAGGGCACCAGCACACACCGACACATGGCTGCTATAGGTTTATTTATGGGGTTTTTACCGTTCGGTCCACCCTAGAAATCCTAACTCAACCGTACAGTTCAGGGTAGGTGCCAGCTCGAAATTGATGCCAATTCACCGGTGGGTATGGGTGTTATAGGTGGAGCTGTTTATAAATTTGAATTATTGTAAATCTGCAGTTCAAATCAGAATTCTGAGGGGGAGTGCAGTCTAAAGATCTTTTTTAGGAGTTTTTATTGCCTCTCAACTGATCTCCCCTTCTCTTGCATAAGGACAATTTATGCATGGCAAGCTAGCAACCGCAGCTGAATGTTGGGCTGGTCTACACCACACCCTGTGGCAGGGACCGATCCACACCACACTAGTCCACAGCTGTTCTGAACTGTGGACAAATTATGTGGACTGGACTAGTCCACAGCCACAGTGGCGTTCTATAGCATGGTGTGGACCAGTCCACACCACACTTTTTTGATTCCATGTATCTCATGTACATTTCATGAATGATATACACARTTAAACATAAATATCTAATTTTTGCATTTTGTATGATAAATATTTTAAAAAATGCATCAATGAATTAATATTAGCCAATAAATATTATTTTTTTATAAAACAATAGTAAAATAATTAAAAATTAAAAAATATATATTAAAWATTTAAAAAATATTATATTATTGATAAAAACATTAAAATTATAAAAATTAAGTAAAATAATTAATATTTTATTGACAAAAATATTAAAAATACTTAAACACTTTTTAAGGATACTTAAACACTATCCAGATTCCTTCTAATCTCATTTGCTGACCTAAAAAAGTGGGGATTCCATTACTGGTTTGCCTTTCCTGCCCTGGTGCTTGATCCTCCAGTAGCATTGATTGATTTGCAGCCAGTTTCGCAGTATTTCAGTTTAGAGGAGGTGCCAAAGAGGATAAATATTTTCTATGATCTGGTTCAGTTAGTCATTTTAGTTGTTTTTTTGTATCCTTTCTGATGTCTGTATTATTCATACAGGCAGAACCTCTGTCAGCAGCTTGTCATGCATGACGTACATCAAGTCTAACAGCAGGTTGATCTGTCTGTTGTGTTATTTCTGCTTTGGTTAATTCAATATAATGTTTAGCTCTGCTATTTCTTTCCAGGAGGTTAACTCACTAATTTTACTGCAGATGTACCATTCTTTCTAGTTACTATATCTTCAAATTCACATGCCACAGTTAGGCCATTAAAAGATTGGGAAGCCTGCAAGGGTGATGGCCAAAAGGTTTGTCCATGAAACCATCAGAGTTCTCTGGAATTTGTATGTTAACTATTCATGACATTGAGTAATATTTAAATAGCCCCTCTTGCAAAGTTATATGCAACCATAAATTTGTGTGTATAAGGTTTGTCTAAGATTACTGTGAAATGTAAATTTGTGCCCATCTCTTCTTGAGTCATTACAATTGGTACTTGGCTGCCTGCAGATTCTTTCTGGTTTCTATGATCCATGCCATCTCCCTAATAATCCTGGTTGGCCTCTTCGTAACTTTCTTGCACTTATATATTCAAGGTGGAATCTAGAGAAGGTCCGCTTTCTCTGCTATCGAGAGCAACATGGCTATGCAGATTTGGGTTTGTCCCTTATCGGTGAAGTTTTACTTTCAGTTCCACAAGGTAGATCAGCAGAAAATGGGTAATGGCTCTCTTCTAAAGAATTTTCTCTTTCTGTGTAGTTTGAATTGGCTTATATCACCCACACTCTTCGATTCGTGGATTATTTGTTTAGGCTGGAGAGACCATCAGTCTATACCTAATGCCGTGGGATGGGAACTAAACAGAGGCAAGAAGATTTCCAGGTGTATAAGGCTTGCTGAATCCATGGATCCAATGAGGTAAACAGTTTGTGTATTCACTAGTTAAAGGCTTCATTTTTCAGTAACTGAATTAAGCAATTACAGAAAATGTTCACAGGTTGGCCATTTCTGCAGCAGATCAGAATTTAAAACTCATGAGATGGCGTGTTATTGTTATGTGACATTTTATATTTTGTTTATACATTCTTTTTTCTTTGTTTTTTGCAGCAAAAGGATTTTTGGAAAGTTGAGTTGAAGGATTTTTGTAGCAAGAATGGATATGGTTTTAACAGGAATGGAGAGAGTGGCCCTTTACTTCTCGATGTTCTTGAGGGGTACTTGAAGTATGAGGTTTGGTACTAGATGTCATCCTTAATACTTGGTCTTCTACCATGGATTTAGGCATTGTACATGAGAAGAAAAATAATAGTTACAATATGGTCCTGTTAGAGTGTAAATCATTCACTTCTGATTACCTTAGCATTTTGGCTTTCTAAAACTCAAGTCAATTCAATTCTAACTATTTGAAGTTTGTCTCATGACATTTGTCCCTCCCATTTGCTTTATAAAGAGCCATGTTTTCTGTTAAACTTTTTCTCATTGCATGAAGTGTCTCACATGATTCACTTTCAAAGTTTAACAAAAGACGGAAAAAAATAAAAACAAAAAGGATTCTGGGTTTGTGGTCAGGCATCAAATGAAAAGTATTTTCAAAGTTCAATTTTTCTAATTCTGTTCCTCCCCAGAGCTTCATGCCCCTTAATTTTTCTATTTCTGCTTTCAGTCTCTCCCTCTCCATCCTCCCTGCCTGAAATAGATCATCTTCCTCCTCCAATCTATCCAGCCTAGCCATTCTGTCTAGGACCTCTTTTTTTCTTTTCACAACATTCCCGAAAACTTGAGAGCTCCATTTCTTTAAATCCTCCTTTAAAAATTTTAACTACTTCATTAGTTTGAAACCTGACCGTTTCTGATAAAAAAAAAATAGTTTGAAACCTGTCGAACCTTCCACCTGATAAAGATTCCATTTCTGCTCTATGAATTCCAGAAAATTTGGATGGCCCATCCACATGCTCTCAAATGTGAAAGGTTTAGGACCCTTCAGCCTCACAAACTCCCTCATTAGTCACAGGAGGACTGTCCACACAATTTTGAGACAAGACAAATTTCATTATGAAGAAAAGACAAGGAAATAAAAGAATTACAACAAGTTTATGTAGTTCAACAAGTGGGTCCGTAGTATAAGCAGAAAATAAATGTAAAAAATTTAAAARATGAGCTAACATTCATTTGCAGGTTGTTTTTCCCTCGAGAACTAACATTCATTTCTGATTCTGATAAATAACGGTTGTTTTTTCCTGAGCTAACATTCATACTATCGGGCGGAGAGAAATGAACTAACATTCATCAGTTTTGTCTGATAAAAAAATGAGCGGTAATGTGTAAGGTTTCAGAAAAAGCTCCATCTAAGAGGGGAGCAAAGCGTTGTTCTTTTTTCCAACGTTAAAACTGTTCTTTTGTATTTGAAACGAACCAATAGAAACATCACATGGAGGGAGATGCCTCTTCTTGATCATATTTTGCAGTTTTTTTTCTCGATGGCTTAAATCGTAGGAGGGGGCAGATAATTTATATGTTATATTTTTTGTGGTTTCGTTTTTGAACAAAAAAAAAGAAATATAGTTGCTTTATTTTAGAGTGATGGGAGTGTGAATGCCTAAGTAGTAATCTATAAACCTAAGTTGTTTTGAAGGGGAAAAGGTAAATTGTCTAAAACTAAATTATATAGAGAARATAAACTAGATTTATGCAAAATAAGATGCAATATGCTATGTATGAGAAACTAGATGCCTAAGCTCTTGAACCTAAGTTGTTTAGAATGGAAAAAATNTAAACTAGATTTATGCAAAATAAGATGCAATATGCTATGTATGAGAAACTAGATGCCTAAGCTCTTGAACCTAAGTTGTTTAGAATGGAAAAAATGCACTAAAATTACGATTTTTTTCACATTTTTTTTGTGTTTTATATTTCATTTCTTTTTAATTTCAAATTTTAAGAAAAATAAATGTGATCAACATAAATTATTTTTATTGATGATGGGAATGTTATTCCAAATTTATAATGGACTAAAAATGAAATTGTATTCCTATTTCGTGGCAAGTCAATAGTTTAACCCATGTCAACCCTTGATGTAATAAGTAATAACTAAATAACAAAAGAATTATGTAGATATTTTGCACTAATATCA